AAAAAATTTACTTCAATATTAAATTAAATAATTAGAATAAATTATTTTGTTTTTTTTTTTTATTTCTATTCAATTCAAATTAGTTAAATACAATTGAAAGATTTTAATTAATAAAGAGAAATATACTGTTTTATTCGCTTTATGACAACTAAATTCTGTCAAAAACAAAAAGAAAAAATGTTTTTCTTTTTTTGTGTTAAGAACAAATTTAATAAAATATGAGAAAAAAATCACAAGAAGATTTTTTTTATTAAATGTTTAAAGACAATATTTCGATTGGAAAATGTGCTAAATAGACAAATGAAATTGATGAGAAACAAAAAAAAATTTTAATAAATTCAAACAATGATATTATGAAAATGTTTAACTCTAAAAAAAGTTAATTGATGATAAATAAATGATTTAATATATTAATAACAATAATCAAAGTAAATATAATCATTTTATCAGTTGACTAAAACAAAATTTTGATGTTTATCTTTAATAATATAAAATATAAATAAAATTATAGAAAAATAAAAAATAAATATAAAATATAAAAGTTTATAAATAATATGATAATATTAAAATCTTCTAAAAATAAAAGTAAATTATTTTTATTTTTATATTTTAATCCAAAGTTTTTTTTTGTTTGTTCATTTATTAATCTATTTTAATTATTAAATAGATGAAAAAACAAAAACAAAACTATAACATTTAAAGGTAGAAAAACCAAACAAAAACGGAAGAAGAAGAAGAAGACTTGATTATTTTTTTTGTCGTATGACTATATTTAAATTCGGACGGATAATCAAAACGATTATTTTCATTTTCTATTCCAATTGATTATCAATATTTGAATTAAAACGAGAATAAGGAAATAGATGCATCCATATAAGAGTTAATGGTGTACCAATTAAACATATTTTCAAATAAAATGAACGTCCTCGTTCACTTAATATAAATGGTAATGTTGTTAATGTTAAAAAAAAACAAGAATATATTGTTTCTCTTAATGGTAATTCAAGTTCAATTGGTTTATCTTTTCTATCACAAGTAAATATTATTGATTCATCATTTTTAGTTTTATAATAATTATAAAAATTTTTTAATAATCTATAATAAATAAATTAAATATTTTTTCGAAGAAAATAAAAATATTTTCTTTTACTTGTCTTTTAATTGAAATCGTTGATAAAGCCAATTTGATATTTGTTCATTTGTTTCACTTGGAATTTCATTTATTTCTATTCGTCTTATATCAATATGTAATTCATTTGTTTCACTTTGTAAATATTCTAAAAATTTTTTTACTTAATTATTTATTCATATTCATTGATTATAATTAACTTACTTATTTATTTATATATACGATATATGCTTTATTATTTTAAAATAAAAACTAATAAAATCTATTTGTTTTAGATTCTTAAAATGATAGAAAAATTCATCAGAAAACTAGAACTCTATTAGAGATATAAAACAACTGATGGTAAAGACAAGTAATAAGACATTAGCATTTAATATAAATCAACTATGTTATCTTTCGGTTTTGTCAAAAACTCACATTGACCCCATGCTCTTGTGTACAATGTTGAGCAATCCCAATGATTTTTGATGAAGAAAGACTAGAAATAACTAAAAGTTTTACTATAATGAGTGTATCTAGTAAAATTTTTACTTTTTTATTTGAATATTGTTTGATGAATAAATTTATTTCATATGAAATAGAGACTCTTCGACAAAAAGTATTAGATTGATAGCCCCTTTTACTTCTAAAACACTCTGAGGATACACTTTATCTTGTTGATCTTTCAAAAAAATAAATGCGGAAACTTCGAATTTAAATCCGAGAGTTATGTGTACTTCAAAAAGTGAATCATACGGATCAGTCATCCTAGAATGTCTGAACATGAAATTATACTGGGGAACCTACCATTTCAAATGTTGATTTCTATTGTGCGTTGCCAAACCAATAGAACTTGGAACCGAATACAGCTCAAGTTTGAACTCTTTCCTTTGATTTACTCTAAGAAAGTCGTTTTTCCTATAACTTGATTTCTATTGGTCACTGCTCAACCAATAGTATTTCGACGGGAGTGGAATACAGATTCGAGTTCTCCACCTCAGAAAACCTCGAAGCATCATCACTGTGATCGGAAGATAGAGCTCGAATTGTGGATCAATTAGATCGTGGACAAAAATCTAACCTAGTTCTCTTTAATTATCTTTGTGATAGGTAAGTCACCCTTCTTGTTTCTTTATGTTTTATATACCATTTTGTAGCTCTTGAAATTCTCTATCGAATGGTATATAATAGTTGGGGTTTTAGTTGACCAGAATAGGAAAAGTTGTTTACGAAAGCGGGGATGGCTCAATCTTTCCATAGGGAATGTATAGGGAAAAATGAGTATTTTTGCAATAACTCAGGAATGGCTCGGCCAATCCTTCTCATCTTCGAACTCGACCGAGATATTGTTAAGACTGAACTGTGTAGAAAATCTCATCGCGATCTGACTTTCCTTTCAAAAGTTATCGAATAAACGGACGGACGGACGGCCGGACACACTGACCGATTTTAGTAGTGTACTCACTTTTTGAGTACACAAAAACACTTATCACTTATATATTTATTGTGAAAGTAATTTTTAAAACATACTCTTTAAAAAAGTGTGTCAAACATTAAAAATTGACATTTGAACGGGCAAAAGCAAAACACTGTTTGTTTATTTTATTTTCTATTTAAGATTTCTTATTTAATATAAGAGAAGACTAGTTTTTTTCTATTAAATTTATAATATATTATTATCTGATATATATTATTAGGGATGCATCAATTCCAATTCCAATCAATTCCAATTCTTAGAATTGGTTAGAATTGGGTTAAGTCACCTAAAAATCTTATGGAAGCCCAGGAATTGGTATGGAATTGGTCTGAAACTGGCTAGACTTGGCTTGAGCTGACTATAATTGGTATGGAATCCTAAGAATTGTTATGTAATAGGCCTGAAATTGGCTTGAATTGGACCGTATTGCCTACAATTCGCATGGGATCCTAGGAACTGGCATGGAATTGGTCTGAAACTGGCCCGGATTTGCTTGAGCTGGCTACAGTTCTTATGGAATCCAAGGAATTGTAAACAATTCGGCCCAGTTCGAGCCAGTTTAAGATCAATTCCTAGGATTCCATATGAATTGTGGGCAATACGGTCCAATTTCAGGCCAATTCCATAACAATTCTTAGGACTCCATACCAATTATAGTCAGCTCAAGCCAAGTCTAGCCAGTCTCAGACCAATTCCTGGGGTTCCATAAGATTTTTAGGTGACTTAACCCAATTCTAACCAATTCCAATTCCGTCAATTTCAAGCCAAGAATTGAAATTGGAATTGGTGGATCCCTATATATAATTGTTAATTTACCAGCCATTGATGGTGCATTTAAACGAATTTGTTGTTGATGATCATAAGTTTGATTATACATAATAGTTATATCATAAACAGCATCTAATTTATGTTTAAGTGCTTTAATAGCAGCTACAGTTGCACCTGTTCGAGGATAAAGAACATAATCAAATGGTACTAAACCTGAATAAATATATATATTATTAAGAAAATATTATTTTTATTCTATTATTTAAACCTTTTTCTTGTGCAAATAATCGTGATCGTTGAATAGCATCTTGATTATTAATTGGATTAAATCGAGTACCTTCAGGAAAAATAACAAGCCAAACAGGTAAACCATTATATTCAATTTGACGCATTCCTTTTTCAACTCGATCAATATCTCCTTTATCATTTCGACGAACATAAATACAACCATGCTAGTTTTATATTAAATATTTTATTTCTTGTTTCGATTTTTATGAATTTAATTTACTTGTTGAAAATAAAATCCATAAAATGGAATCCATTTTAAATCACTTTTAAGAACATATCGAATATGTCCAAGACTTCCTTGATGAACAGCTAACATATTTGTTATTATCCAATCAACTAAATATATTTTATTAGTTTATTGCTTTTTTTTTTTTTTGTTTTGATCAAAATTAATAATAAAAATTTGTTACCAGAACTTTGATGATTTGATATATATAAAACATTTTCTTTTTTTTTAAATATTTTTTCATAATCACCATGAACATAGATCTAAACAAATATTAATTATTATATTCATAGATAATTAAAAAGATTTCTAAATAATCAAATGTACTAAATAAGAATCAAAAATAAATTTTATATCGAATTTTTTAACATTCATACAATAACATTAGTTTTTTTTTTTTTTCTATTCAAATAAATTAAATCATTTTAATAGAATAAAAAATTTTCAGTATTACCTACGATTCTTATACAAAATCAATAAAATATTATTTATTCCATAGTTCACATATTAGAGTTTTAATTATTTCATTAAGATATTTTGAAGAGTTTATATTTACGAACTAAATCGATCAGTAATCGTTCAAAGAAGATTCTTGCAAAATCAAACTTATAAGTTAATACGTTTTAGTTCATTATGTAACATATAATGAATAATATTGTAATACTTAACTATCTTATTGATTTAACTCTGAAAAATAATCTTGATGAATAAGCTGAATGTAGGTCTCTAGTTCGACTAGTAAATCATTAAAAACAAAAATGAATTTCTATTTAATCCGATGAAATTATTTTTGTAAATGAAGATGATAAATTGGACTATAATTATTTAAATAAATGAATTGTTAAACATACTTTAACTGAAACCCAATTTTGAAAGAAAAAAAGAACTAATCTTTGATAAATTGAATATAAATGATCATCACAACGACGATAAATATGACGAGGAAATAATATTGATGTTATTGATCGTAATAAAAACCAAAAAGTAATAAATGTAGGTGCTGTTCCATAAAGAGTTAGTATTGGAAGAGTAAATCTTAATGTATTTATTGTAAAAAGAAAAAATGATAACATTTTCCTTTGTTTTTTTGGAAGGGGGGGGTATTTTATCTTAAAAAAGAAAAAAAAACAGATTTATTCAAGATGAAAAAATTGTTTAATAGAAAATGTTTTTTCTAATTCTTTTAAATGTTGTTTTAAATGTAATGACATTCTTAATTGTCTTGTTCGACGTCTTTTTTTTAATAAATAATTTGTATTATTATTTATTTGATTAATAGAAATATTTTTCTTCTTTTTTTTAATTGATAATGGATTAATTCCATGTTTCTTTCTTTTTTTAATATTATTATTATCATCATTTTGATTAATATTTAATTCTTGTTTTATTTTTTTTAATATATTTGTTTCATATTTAGTTAAATTACTATTATCTTTTTTTATTTTTTCAACTATTGAATAAGAATTAATTGATGGACGTTCAATATTTATTGCATTATGTGTTATTAACATTGTTGGTAAATCTGGACGATTAATATGAGTATATTCTCGTAATGATAATGACTATATTTAAATATAATAACAATAATTTTTTTTTTTCATTATTAATTTAATTAAAATAAAATAAATACTTGTGATGCAAGAAAATATTTATTTGTTTTATCTTTTATTAATATTTGTTGAAAACATTTTTCAGCTGATATTGATGGATAATGATTACATTTTATTATTTCATATTGTTTTAATATTAACATTGCACCAAATCCAATTCCACCTAAACTTTTATTTTTATTTTTTTTCTATTAAGAAAATTCTTAATTAATTAGTATTTTATAGACTCATAATAAATATATTAAATATTTTTTCTCTATGAGATAGATGATTACATTTGCTATTCATATAATTAACATAAGGAGAAAAAAAGAACTCTTGAAGAAGTTCTAAGCATCAGCGAGACCACCTGTTTTTTTTTGGTCTCTGTCCCGGTTAAACATTTTTTTGTAGTGCCGGTCTCGACCTTTGATTCCGATTTCATTCAAAGTTTTTTTTATTGTTTCTAGAACAAAAACGACTTTTCTAATAAACTGTATAATTTTTTGAATATTTTCTTTGATCCTGACCATGTGGTTTAGAAAATATTCTTAAAGCTCACAGTTATTGCATAGATACAAAATTTAAATGAGTGAGATTCAATCGATATTCATTCAATAGTCTCTCTAATAGTATCAAAATTTAGGATTTACAGAACTGTAAGTATTATTTTTAGTAGGGAACGACCTCCAAGATGATTTCCATTCAGGATCGAAAAATAAGTCATTTTCCAGATTCATAATTTTATCTCAATTATTAATAATAAAAAACAAAGGACCTATTTGTAAATCATTAGACAGAAGAGAATAATAAATATGAAAATATGTAATCTAGTTCTAGAACAGAAAACATTACGGGACCAGTTTTAAATCCCGGTCTCAATCCCGTAAAAATTAAAATTTGGTTCCGATTACGGTCTCAACCCGGAACTAGTTTGTAGACCCCTAACAAGTTCATTCTAATGATGATGTCTAGAAACTGAATGTCTACTATAGAGAAGACTAAATATTCTCTATTTGTAATATAATTATACCATTTATTCATATATGCTCAATATAAGGCTAAATAAATTCTGTAATTAATGTTTCAAATGGTATTTATTCTCATTAATATCAATCATATTGTATCAATATTAGTAACTGACAGGAAAAGTGATGGAATATGAGAAAAATTTAAAGATTTTCTTATTTATTCTCATATAACTAAATGAATATATTCGATATGAACTGTTTGAAATTGTAAGATTTAACATAATATATTGAAAAATAAATCTTATTTGTTTTGTCTTATATAAAAGAAAAGAGAAAATAATTTGTATAATTAGTTCTAAAAATGTCAAATAATTAAAACATAAAAAAAAGATATGATTAAATAAATATAATTTATTGAAATAATCACTGAAATAATATTCAGTGATCCAATTCTTGTTTTGATCATAATCAACAAATAGAAAATAATATTTTTATTATATTAACATCTGTCAATAATGATATATTCATATGATTCAAAATAGACTTCTGTCTAATCAATCATTTGATTATAAATATATTTTTTTTCAGTAAAATATATCAAAAAGTCTTCTAATTTAATATAAAAAAAAGGAAAATTTTTCTTACCTAATAATTCTGTTTCTTTAATAGCACATAAACTAGTTGAACAAATAATTTGTTGAGTTTCTAAATAAGCTTTTAATTGTTCATCAATTTGAATTTTCCATTTAAGTGCTTCAAATGCAAATGTTCCATCAATTAATATAATAAATGGAAATTCAATATTAAAATTTGTACGATAATAATTAAGTATACGACGAATATATTTATGACGTGATAATTTCATCTAAAATTTTTCGTTTTTATTGTTGTTGTCAAAAAGAAAATCAAATATTTTTTTTTTTTTATTATTTAAAATAAATGAATAAAAGGTTTTCTAAATGCATGGAATGTTAATGTAAAAAGGAAAATATTTAAGATTCACTGGTCAAGTTTTTGACGTTTACGTAAAATGACAAGTATTGGATAATGAAGATCACTTGAATAATTTTTATTTAGTTTTTTTGTCTAAATAAGATTGTTGTTAAATAAAAATAAAAATAAATATTTATTTATTTACTTGTAAATGTTTATTGAAAACATCATCATCATAATGATCAATAATATTACATTCAAATGGATATGTTTCAGCTATTGATACAAATTTATTTAAACTTTTTGATCGATATGGAGAAAAATTTATCGCCACACCCTTCAATAAATAATATATTACAAAAAAAAAGAAAATAAAAAATCTACCGAATCTTTTAACATATAATAAATCGTATGACATAAATCATGATGAAGATCTTCGAAAAAGAAACTAAAATAAAAATAAAAAAAACATAATAAAACAAAAAAATTGCAAATAAAATTTACCAATCAGCCGAAATAATAAAATCAAATCGTTGTTTTAAAGAAGAATCATTTAATTGTCGTGTCCATATAAGAACTCGTGATTCTATTGGACATAACCAATTAAATTCATTTGTTTTTGCTTTTAATATAGCATTTAAATCTTGACAAAAATGAGAATTAAATAAATAAAAAAATATCTAATTTAGAATAAATACTAGCAATGCTTTTTTCATTTCCATCTGTAGCAACAAGCTCACGGAGCGAAATCGTTCGAGCCAACTAACATGCAACAAAAAAAAACAAAAGCAATTTAATATATCATGCTAAATAATATTATTTTGATTAAATAATTATTCATTCGAAATAAAACAACAAGCTATTACTTACAGCAAGTCCAGCTAAACATGTCATTCCACCACCAAGTTCACAAACACTTTTATTTCTAAACAAAAAAATTCTTCTTTTTTTTTTGTTTCTTTTATTTAAATTAAAATAAATTTACTCGAATATTTCTTTTTCTTTTAAACAATAAAAAGCAAGAACTTCTTCCGATGGCCATATACCTTTTAAAATTTATTTATTAAATAATAAATAATAAAAAACATTACATACAAGTATTTCCTGTATTATTAAAACCAATTAAATCTGCATAATTTATTTTAGTTGAACATAATCTTTACAAAAAAACAAACTATTACAAAAATTTTTATTTTTGTTAAATAAAAAACAAACCGAATATCTAATGAAAGAATATTTGATTGATTATCTTCAAATGAAGGAAATTCAATTTTACACCATGTACCATCATCTTCATCATCCCTTTTTAATGAACTTCTTATATATAAACCAAATGTTTTAAAACGCATTACAGATATATCTTCATGTTCACATGATTTTTGAAGATTTTTACTTAGAAGAATCTATTTTAAAGCATTTATCTTAGAAATTAATTTTGAAAAAAAAAGAAAACCAATAACCTCTCCAAGCATACGCCATCGTTGTCGAGCTAATTCAGTCATTTTTCTCTTAAAATTGTTTCTTACTTCATGTTTGACTGACTAACAACAATTCTCATTCTATTCTTTCATTTATTTATAACTAGAAAAACACTCGTTTAAATCATTCGATTAATTTATACCAATCAAAATAATAATCATTATCCACTATTCATAAATATATGTTTGTTTTTTTTTCAAAACCTCATTTATTATTTTCAATTTGAATATTCATCATAGAATATATTTTATTATACAAAAAATAATTCAAGATGAGAAAAGTGCCATCTATTGAGAAACAATTGATGAAAAATGGTACTTCTTTTTTTTCAGATCGTTAGAAGTCTTCTCTTTTATTATCATTTACAAGTTATATTTGTTTCTTTTTTCTAATAAATTCTCAATAATATCAGACAAAATATTAATAGAAGAATATTTTTTAACATTTTAAAACAATATTAAAGTTTCATTCGATTTAACTTTTTGTTAAATATTTCGTCTAATAAATAGATAAATATACGTATTGCTCGAGGATTTCATAGGTAAATTTTCTCATATCGTTCTTCTCTGACTTCCTAACATCTAGAGGTATATGAGACTGATAGAACGACAAAGCGAAGTTGCCAAAATTAGGACTTGTACAACAAGAAGAAAATTGTCCCAAATATAATTAAAGATTGATAGTAAGATTTTGTATGATTGGAAACGGATTCTATTATGAATTATATCAATTTGATCATAACTGAAAAGGCATTACAAAGAAATATGTTAGTAGTTACTATTCGAGATCGACGATCGGAACCAAATTACATTTTAATGTGATCATAATTACCATCACTTGAGAACAAGTTATCGGAACTGGAGACCTAAACTTCCCGCATTTCTCCTAGAGTCCCTTTAAGAAAAATATTAAAATGTTTATGAATTTAAAAGAACGATATAAAATGATCCTAACTATATAGCAAAATACATCCGACATATGGATTTCTGCTAACTAAATCACCGTTTTAGTTCATGTTGAATTCACAAACAACTTTCGATAAGACTAAAAAAAGTTCGTGTCAATAGAACTCTGAATTCGAATTCTGATTCATGTTACGGATTTTTCAACTCATTTTTTAGGTATAAACTGTGAGATATTGAATTTTCAAGGAACGTCGAATTTTGTTTAATGTTTATAGTAAATGACTATTTCTTAGAAATTCAATATTTTTGACAAATATAAATTCTTTTCGGTTCAAACTATATTTTGATTAGTTTATTTGTTAGAGGATCAAGGTGATAGATGCGATTTGGTTGATATATCAATATTTTCATACAATTTACCTTTTAAATTAATCTATTGTAACAGTAAAATTAAAGTTTGCCTAGAGATTTTCATACTCTGTCATAGAAAATTTCTTCAGAAATTGTTAAACATTGTAAGCAAAAAAACTTTGATTGAAGCATTGATGTAACACAATTTAAAAGTTTGATTTTATTATAAAAGCATAGTGATATATATTAAAAAGTGAATATTTCAACTAAAATTTCAGGTGTACTAATATCTTCTCAAAGTTTAGTCACCTATATGTCTCTTATTTTTGGAGATTATTTCAATTTAGAAATATTTTATTGACTGAATAAATTTGTTCGTAAGAGAAACTTTTACTAAGATCAATCAATCATTCAAAAATAAAATCAATTAAATTATATTTAAATCATTTATGATAACCTTAAACAAAAACAAAATAACATTATAATATAGATTTTAAAAAATATATAATTATTATCAAGAAAATTTTTATTATAGAATATAGTTTAATACAATATATTTTAATCGATATATATAATGTTGAATCAATGAAGAATATATTATATTTAAATAAAATTATAATTGACAATCTATGTAATACGATGAATATTTCATAGTTGATATTGAAATTAAGAAAATAACTTTGATTTAATATGAAAATACATAATAATTAATGTTTAAGATTTATTTAAAATAGAATTTATTAATAGAAATAAAATATTCAAAATATTATTTAACTAGAATATATTGATCTTGTGTGACATAGATTATTTTAGTAAATTAATAAAGAAAATCTTTTGATTAATAAGTAGAAAAACAAAGAACATTAAGTTCTTGTTGAATTAACCCCAATATAGACTTAATGATGTCATAATAAATAGAAATTTCCAACAAGAGATGAATTATTTAGTTTTTTTTAATATAACACAATAAATCAATTTGAATGTTAAAATTCTTTCTTTTTAAAATAGAAAATATATCTATTGAAATAATTAATTAATTAATAAATAAATACAAAAAGAAGAACAATTTATATAATCGAAATTCAGATTAAATGTTTTCAATGACATTATATTATGTATTACGAAAACAAAGAAAAAAACCTAGTCAAAAGGGAATATAACATCAACAAATCTATATTCTATGTAATATAAGTTAAAGTCCATTGTTTATTAAACACAAAAAAAAACAAGGTATTATTGCACTAATAACTAAATGACGATAAAAAAAAAAAAGAAAATGACAAGTTTTGTTAACAAGTAAACATATTCATTGATTGTTAAGACACAAAAACATGTTTTTCATATTATACGTCGATAAAAGAGAATATTCCCTACAATCATTACTTTTTTTTTTCCCTTTAAATGTCAATATGAACAATTCTCTTTAGTTTTTCTTTTGTCTTTATTAATCAAAATAAAATTCAATGAAAAATTTATTATTTGTTTTTTTTTCTTTTTTTCATTTATAAATATTAAATAATTAAACACATTGAACAAATATTTCAAAGAAGAAAAGGAATTTAAAATAATTATATGTAAATTTAATGAGAAACATTTATTTTCATTAAACAGAAAGAATAAATCTAATTGAAATTAATCTTAAATAAAAAATAAAAAAATTTTCTATTAAATAAAGAATATTTATCAAATCCATTGATAATTTCTTTTTTAGAATATAAATAGCCATATTGCTCAATAATCAATTGACTTGCAAATTTCTTTTATGTCTCTGACTCTCTCTCTCTCTCTTGTTTGTTGAATAGATGAAGACGATACCAGAATCTACTCTGTCAATGATGATTATCATCGGAACAAACACATTTAGAATCTATTATCTATCTGATATGTGTTTTTTTTTTCTTTTTTCACAATGTCTGATCAGTCTTTTCTTTTAAAAAATGTGTTATCTATCGGAAGGCGCCTCGAAATGACAGTTAATTCATTATTAATTTGGCACTTTGTATGTAAATAAATAATGAGTTTTGCTCTTTCTCATTCGTTCTCTGTTCGGCTTTTTTTTTTCTTCTTTTTTTTCTTTTTTTCGATTATCTATTGCTCCTTTGTGTGTAATAGAAAGAAATCCCTAATGTCAGATTGAAAATAAAGCAAAAAAAAAAAGGCGAGAATGAGCATGTGTGTATGTGTGGGAGAGAGAGAG